CCTGACCCAAGCCATGGTACTTTCAATAAACTCATAAACATGTGAAAGCTAGACAGTGAATAAGAAAGACCGTAGAAGAATTGATGCTTTTGAGTTATGGTGTTGGAGAAGAATATTGAAAAGTGCCATGGGCTGCCAAAAGAACCAATAGATCCATTCTGGAAGAAGTACAGCCAGAGTGCTCCTTGGAGGCCAAGATGGCCAAACTTCATCTCTCATACTGTGACATACTGTCAGGAGGGACCAGTCGCTGGAGAAGGATATCATGTTTGGTAAGGTGGAGGGTCAGAGAAAAAGAGGAAGACCCCCAACGAGATGGATTAGCTAAGTGGCAGCATCAATGGACTCAAGCGTAGCAACAGTAGTGAGATTGGCCCAGGATCAGGCAGTGTTTCGTTCTGCTATGCATAAGGTCGCTATGGGTCGGTACCTACTTGATGGCACCTAACAATACCAACAATGAATCTGTAGTATCGGCACTAGACTGCAAACCACAAGGTCATCAGTTCAAACCTACCAGCCGCTCCTAGGAACCCCTATACAGGGTCGCTTTGAGTCAGAACTGATTTGACAGCAGTTAACAACAACAAAGTTGCCTAGGAGTCCTGGTGTGGTACTGTAGGATAAGCACTGGACTGCTAACCACAAGGCTGGCAGTTCAAACCTACCAGCTACTCTTTGAGAACCTTATACAGGGTTGTTAACAACATCAAGAAAGTTGCCTAGCTAGCAAGAGGTTCACGTAAGTCTTCACGAGGTTATCTGACATTCATACACAGGAAAATGAACATCATTCAGGCCTTGTTGTTGTTAAGTGCCATTGCGTTAGTTCTGATTCACAGGGACCCTGTATAGGGTTTCTGAAGTGCAACTGATGGGTTTGAAATGCCGACTTGTGGTTCTCAGTCCAGTGCTTATCCTACAGTGCCACACCAGGACTTGGTCCTGAGGAAATGGCATGGCATCTTTGGACTCGTTAAGACTGGGATACAGTGTTTCTTGCCAGAAGGAACCAGGGCCTTCTTTTTCTACAGGTGGCTTCATTTTTAGATACATCATGTTGGGACTCTGCTCTTCTTTCACTGTCTCCCAGAAGAGTTAGTTTTCTCTTAATCATGCAAAAATATGTGCATGATGTTCTAAGCAAGTTATCTGCCCAAGAACAATAGTACAGTTCCACTGAGTAAGTCTGGTACTTGGCACTCTAATTGGAAAAATGGGGTTTAATAAATCTTTTCCTTTGGAAACTTGCCTCCAAGAGATTGTGCACATTCTGAATTTAAAATGGGACTGACACATTCTGGGACTGGAAGATGTTTTCAAGTTCCTGGAAGGAACTGAGAATATATTAAAACGATTTGACCAGAGATTTGAGGCTCACCTAGACATGAACGTTGCATCTGGGCTTAAGAAATCAGAGGCTGTCTGATTAAGAAGCATAACAATAAATATCCAACATAAAAATCTAGGTCTTGTTTATGGCACAGGAGAAAGCAGGGGGGATTGGAGCTGCATTCCCTCGGCAAATGGATGAATCACTGGCAGCTGCTAGAAAGATAAAGAAACCACATCTGCTTAGAGTCCAAATGCTATATGGATCCCTTGTGATAGTAAATAAATTCTTGAAGAGGCTCCACTTCTAAATCAGGAGAAGAATTAGGGATATCTGAGTGGCTGTTTCCCATAGTTATCTCCACATGCCATGTCACAGAAATCAGAGTAACTCTAGCTGTATGCATCATTCTTTAACTTATATAGTGGGTGTTCAAGAAATATTTACTGAGTGATTAAACCTGAGAAAAACAGGTTTTGAGGAAACAGTACAGACTTTACCTACACACTCGCTGCTCCCAATTCTGTTTACCTAGAATCCAGCTGAGTCCACATTTGCTTTCATCTAGCAGTGCACATATTCTGTCAAGGAAATGATGCCATTCTGGGCAGACGAAGTACTTTTTGCGCAGCAGTGTAACGCAACGGATGATTATGTCTCAGAGGCAGTGTCTGAGGTAGAAGTAGCACAAAGCGCAGAGTAGAATGTTTTATTGGTAAATCGGTTCTATTTCCAGATTTTCTGCTAACCCACTATACAACAAACCCTTCTGTAAGTGGTTGTTGGGAAGTGCTGTTGAGTTGGTCCCGATTCATAGCAACCCTGTACAGGGTTTCCAAGGAGTGGTTCTTTACTAAATGGGTGCGTGAACACAAGGTCAGTTTGAACCTCAAGGTCGATGGTTCAAGCTCACCAGCTGCTCCTTGGAAACCCTATAACAAGGTCGTTATGTGTCAGCACTGACTCAATGGCACTTAACAACAAATACCTACCGTATCTATTTCTTAGATTAATTAACTGAAATGATCTAATAAGATGGATTGGCCAAGTGGCAGCATCGATGGACTCAAGTGTGGCAACAATAGTAAGGCTGGCCCAGGATCGGGCAGTATTTTGTTCCGCTGTGCATAAGGCCGCTATGGGTCAGTACCCACTTGATGGCACCTAACAACAACAAGAAGATACAGGAGTCCTGGTGTAGAGCTGTAGGATAAAGCACTGGACTACAAGGTCATTTTAAACTGTAAAGTTGGCGGTTCAAACTCACCAGTTGCTCCTCAGAAACCCTATATACAGGGTCACTATGAACTGGAACTGACTCGACAGCACTTAACAACAACAATAAGATATTGGATAGAAACAACTTTCCAATAGCAGTAGATTAAGAAGCAGTAGCACTGATTATTGAGCAGGTGGGGGATCCTGTACATTCAGTGGAAGTAAGGAGAGTTCCTGTTCACTGGAACACGGTACGCTTAACAGAAATACTTGCTGATGAATGAGGAAATCGTTCAGGCTTTCACTTTTAGTTAGAGTCGTTATACAAACTGTCTTAAAGGCATTTAAAACTTACTTAGAAAAACACAGTATGATGACTGTTGTTTAGTGCCTTTCAGTTGGTTCCGACTCAGTGACCCTGTATAGGATTCCCAAGGAGCGGTTAATGGGTTTGAAACACTAGCCTTACGGTTAGCTGCTCAGTGCTTACCTATAGTACCATACCCAGACTCTAGTATGATGATAGGAATAAAAATGCTGTTAAGTGTCATCGAGTCGGTTCCAACTTATAGTAAGGATTCCCAAGGAGTGACTGGTAAGTTTGAACCATTAACCCTGTGGTTCAAACTGACCTTGCTGTCCTGTGCTTATCCTATAACACCATACCAGGACTCCAGGAATAAGAACAAACCCTTGTAAACATATGTAAAAGAAGGCTTTGATGTAGGGATTCTAAATCTGAAAACTCCTGAGCAATTTTATTTATTTTTAATATTCTAAACGGAAGATTCTAGTACCATTTTCCACAAGGACTCCCAATGACAGCACTTTTATCCTTTACCTCACTAAGAAAAGGGCTCAATAAAGACATTTTCAATCAGTGTCTGTTTTTTTTTTTGTTTTCATTTTTTAAACATTTAATTGTGGTTTGGGTGAAGGTTTACTGAAAAAATTTGTTTCCCATTCAACAATGTATACATATTTTGTTTCGTGACATTTAGTTACAATGCCTTCAATGAATTAACACTCTTTCTACTCAATGTCTTTCTTAATATTTTCCTTGGAGTATATTCCTAAAATGACAGGCCAGCGGTATTTAAATATACAAATGATTTGCATTTTCCAAAAGCATACACAAGGCTCTTCTCTCAAGGATTTTAATATACTTTAAAAATCTTACTTTAGTGAACTTTAATTCATTTACTCAAATCTTTATTTCTAGAGCCTGATCTGCATTTCAGCTGCTTAAAGAAGCTTTGAACTGGGTCCCAAATAAACGTCATCTTTTCAAAAACAATAGGTATATCATTTCCCCAAATAAATGTATTTGTTACTCTAATATTCCCACCCAGTTGCTTAACTGGTCTTCTCTGTCCTCCTCACATGCCAGATCCAATCAGCAAATCCTGTGGATTTGTCCTCTGAAAGTGTCCCTTCTATCTCCACTGAGAATGTTGGAGTTTGAGCTCGTTTTATTATCACTCATCTTAAATACTGCAAGTCTCCGATTTATGTTCCCTGCCTCCCTGGCTTAGAGGTCTCACCCTCTAAGCCAGCTTCCACACTGCCTTTAGAGTGATCTAGAATTCAGATAGCATCGTATCATTCTCCTTTCTCAAATCCTTCAAACAACACCAACAGGATGAAATCCAGCTTCTTTATTATAATAAAAAATGGTCTTTCAGAACTTGACCCTTTTATTCCTTGACAAACTCAGCTCTAAGTTCCTTCACAAACTCCAGGTTCTAGCCATTCTGATCTTGTTTCCTAAATATTCTCGGTTCTTTTATGCTTCCACACCAAAACATATGCTAATCTCTCCAATTAAAACAACCTTCTCTCCTTTATCCATGTGGATAACTCCTATGCTTCCTTCCCAACTTATGTCAAACAGCAAATTCTAAGGAGAATCTTCTCCAATCCACTTCTCTCCTCCTTCTCCAACAATGGTCTCCCCATTCTACTCCCCACTTATGAGTTTCCTTCTTTGTCGCTCCATGATTTCTTCAGTTTACTATGTGCTAATTTAATACTTGCCAAAAGCAACAGCTCCTGAGACATATTCCCTGAGTATGAATCTGATCCTAGACCTTACTGTGTGATCACAGCAAGTTACTTAGCCCCTCGGATCCTCAGTTTCAATCACTGTGAAATGGAGATTATAGTATCTACAGAGAAAACTGTTTTGAGGATTCAATGAGTTACTATACCTAAAAGCCCTCAGAGCAGCACATGGCTCTTAGTAGGCGTTATTACTGATGATGATGGTGGTAACAATACTGTGGTAGTATCTGTAACACAACACGGGGGATAGATGGTTCCTCCAAAGTAAAGCATTCCTAGAGCCCTGGACAGCATGTGCTAAGTATTTAAAGAAAGATAAGAAAAATAAAAGCTTGAAAGAAAGAAAGGAAACAAGGAAGGCAAGAATAAATTCCAGAAGACTTACCACCATTTTTGCCCACAGTTCTGAAGCATCGCCAGAAAGCCCGTAAGAATGAGGCCCTGTTGTGGGGAGTGGCTTGGATGAAGCTGAACTCTCGAAAGAGAACATGAGTTCCTTGACATACACTGTTAAAACTGCAAAGAGAGAAAGCAAGAAATCTTCATTAGATCAATATTTTCAAAAGGCTGACATAAGAATGAAAAATTCAAGGCCAGATAGATCACTGGAAAGCAGAGGGTTTGTTCATTTCCACAACAAAACTCTCAACTGTAGGTTAAGTAAAGACCTTGAATTTTCTATGGTAAAATCTCTTCACACACATCTCTCTGAAAACATTCTGAAAGCCCAACTTTTCTGAGTGCTCCCCACCGCCCACACACTGAGGAAGTTTTAATCAGTCCCAGAATGCTTTACACAGAGGGAAAGTTTTCAGTCTTTAACAGGATGACAGTCATCTCTTTTTGGAGAAAACTCTCCCTATACTTCGTTTGGAACGACATTTCCTTAAAGATGTCCTTTCTTTACTCTCTGATCTATGTACCAAGTACCATAAGAAAGACAAGGCTTACAGGGACATTGCTGGTTGCCTATTCCAGTTTGAGGCTGGAACAAATCATGATCTGTTACATAAACCCAACAGTAACCCCAGGACAAATCCCAGGTACCAAGGGATACAAAGGATCCACCACAGGACACTGAAGGTACACAAGAAGGACCCATGACAAAAGAACAAGGGTAGGAAGTGGCCCCTAATGTGAATATTAAGCAAAGTTCCAGGGTCCAAGTGAGTCATAGTTTAGGCTATGCCTGAGAAGAGGAAAAATACACTCCATTGCCTTTGGGTTCTTCTGCCAAAGAAATAAAGGAGCTTAGAGTAATCAAAAAATGGAAATTCCACTGAAGAATAGGCAATTATCCAGTAATCACTCCTACCAAGGGCAGACCTCAGGTTTTAGAAAACTCCCAAATTCCTGGACAAGTAAATTATGGGTGAGAAATCTGTTCATCTTTGTGGAGAAGCAAATATTAAACTGAAGATGATAAGCAATGGGGTTTCAAATGCCAGTTTTCACGTGTTTACCATTTAAAAGGAGAAAATAAAAACAAATCCTGTGCTGCTGAATGGACAGGATTCACCTATCCCAGTTCCCTTCTCCCAGACCAATTCAGGAGAAGTGTCTAACCTGTCTTCAGTACACTATCTGTGACAGCTGGAGTTCTGGTGTGGCACAAGGTGGGCAGTTCAAGCCCACCAGCAACTCCTTGGAAACCTACATAGGGTCGCTAGGGGTCAAACTGACTCCATTTCACTTAACAACAATAACCACACCGTCCAGCCTGGTGCAGTGCTCTGGATTAAGGTGCTGAACTGCACGGTCACTTTGAAATGCAAGGTTGGAGGTTCAAGCTCACAGCTGCTCCTCAGAAACCCTAATGCAGGGTCACTATGGGTCAGAACCAACTCTACAGCACATAACAACAACAATAATCCTCTAGCCAGTGAATTATTCTTCCTTCCCTTTTACCCCTGGTAACCATCAAAGAATGTTTCTTTTAGCATGAAAACCTTTTCTTGACTTTTTACAATAGTGGTCTTATATAATATTTGTCTCTTTGCGATTGACTAATTTCACACAGCATAATGCCCTGGTATAGCACTGTAGGATAAACACTGGACCGAAAGGTTGATTTGAACCACAAAGTCAGCAGTTCAAACCCACCACCTGCTCCTCAGAAACCCTACAAAGCGTTACTATGAGTCAGAACTGATGGCACTTAATAACAATAAAGTCCTCCAGGTTCATTCCTGTCATGTGCTTCACAAAATCATAGTCATTCTTCAATGCTGTGTATGCTGTGTGGATGTGCCAAAGTTCTTTGATCCATTCTTCCACTGATGGGCACTTAGGCTGTCTCCATCTATGTGCTATTGTGAACAGTGCTGTGATAAACATGGGTGTGCATACATCTACTCATGTCACGGCTCTGATTTTTGAGGATATATATCAAGTAGAAGGATTACTAGAGTGTAGTGGTCCTATAGGATAAGTAATGAATTGTGAACCACAACGTGGGAGGTTTGAGCCCACCAGCTGGCTCCACTGGAGAAAGCTGAAGCTTTCTGTTACAGCAAAGATTGACAGCCTAGGAAACCCTATACAGGGTCACTATGAGTCAAAACCACAGCTAACAACAACAACAACAACAGAGGGCTTTAGCTGCTGAGCCATACAGTATTTCTATTTCCAGCTTTTTCAGGAAGAGTTATACTGTTTTCTAGAGTGTTGGCACCATTTTACAATCAGTGGATTTGTTTGGGGTTTATGTTACATTTAAGATAAAATTAGCTTCTTCCTACTGATCTTAATAATGCTACATGAAAAAGCAAATTAGATAGTCCTCTTCCCTCATGAAAAACTAGCACAGAACTCTACTTCTAAAACATCCACGAAAAAGTATAAGCATAACAGCTGACAAAGGATGAGGCTTTTTACAAAGCAATGAAAGTGTTAACCGATTCAAGCAGTTTTTCGCAGTGCTGTTATCTTGAGCAAAGGAAAATGAAAAATAAACCAAATGAGCTGTTACATGTAAATGGGGCAAACCACATTTCCAGCAAATGAAGTCTGAAATTATAACATTCTAGCCTAAATTTATGAAATTATCCAACACAGAATTAATCCCAAAGGGTGCTTCATACCCTAATGGGGAAAACCTGGCATCAAAGACATGGTTTAGGCTGTATAGGAACTAATAATAGTGACAGTGTATCCTTAGGGTAGCTTTTAAAAACATACCTATTGCAATGAAGCTGCGAGCTAAGCCCTACAACGGTCAATAGACTCCTGTGAACCCAGGTGGAGACCTGGTCGGCCAGCAGCGTGGCAAGACCTAGGGACTCTTGGGCCCAGAGTCAGTGACATAGCCACAGAGGACTAGAGTGGAGAGTAAAGCGGCCAGCTGATAAGAAGAGAGGGCATGTGCACAAGAACACCCATACTTGCAGATAATACCCACTTGACCTGGCTTCAATGACTGGAGGATCAGAGCTCAGCTAGAAGAAGAAAGAAGAGGAAAAAAAGTAATCTGATACAATTTGATGAACTTGACCTACACCTATGGATGCAGTAGCTCAAAAGAGGGAACAAATCTTTACAGCAAGGATCATCTGCACCGCCTCCATACAGAAAGTAGACAGGGATGGCAACTTGGACATTGGCTACCCAAAATGGGGGTTGGAGGGCTACAAAGGCAAGAAGTGACTGGCTTACAAGCTTTCAAGAGGGAGTCTAGATCCAGAAGGCGTGGAGGAAGGTAGAATCTCCACTGAGGAGTATTCAATCTGTCTGGGAGGGGCTGATAAAAGGAGATGCAGATAGGTCTCTTGTGATACAGTAGTGAACAATTATTATCAGGACTGACTGTTAGGGTTGGAAATGTAAAGGTAGACGTTTTGTAACAAAAGGAGGGAAGTGATTGACTTTGCAATCCAGGAGTGGAGGTCCCTGGGACCATCAAGGGAGAAGAGTGGAGTGCAGGACCCTACCCAGAGAAACAGTGATGCCAGAGATGGAGGCAGAGACGACGAAGTGGAGAGATGGAGCGGCTGGGGACTCTAGACCCAGAGAGGGAGAGTGGCTGTGTGCTGTTGACCATAAAGCTTATGTTTTCCCATATAAACTATCACATAATTCACAATAAAACATTTTTTAAAAACCAAACCTATCTATTTCTTTAAACTAGAGAATCATTTATGCACTGAAGAATTTGGGTGAACCTAATTGTAGAGACAAGCATTTACACCAGAAGATATTTATTTTAAAAAACTGATAAGGCAAGAGCATATAACATTGAAGAAGTCAAAAAAATGGATAATTGTATTAGGTTTCAGTTGCCTGATACAATTATAGAATTACCAATCTTTTTTTTACTTCTTATCATTTGTAACATTCTAATTTAATTAAAAATAAAAACAATGAGAAATGTTTGAGTAAAGTCATAATAAATGATTTGCATAGTTCTTGTTTCCATTTGTCTCTTGTGTCTCCAGTTTTTGTTCTTTTAAAATAACTGACATTTCATCCTTTATCTCCCTAAGGATGCTAAACTTTATTTCAAAGTCAATTTAACATAATTCACTGCGTTCTATTTTCTCTGGAGTAAATGTGTGTTTCAATTGCTGGGTTTATTGGCTATGTTTCTCAGTGTTTGTTTTCCTCATCAATTTGGGAATGTCAGTGTTCAGATTCACCTTAACTGGGAGGTTTCACTCTATTCACGCATGCACTCTTAGGAATGGAACCTAGTCCAGAACCAGGTTTTCCATGGAGGGACTAGAGACTCTCTTCCTGATGATGCTGGACATATCATAGAGACTGTCAATGAAGCCCAGAGCACAGTCTTGGCTGCACAGCTATCTGCTTCCTCCCACCCCTCAGCTATACAGTTTTGTGTTTGTTTTTTTTAAATAAATGTTTTATTGTGAATTGTGTGATAGTTTACATGGGAGAACATTACTTTTACATTCATTCTATCATACATCGTTTCATTGCCATAGTTACCATCCCGTCCATGCATCATCACCCAACCGAAGGGTATACCCTGCAAGCCTGCCCCCCACCCCCCATGATCCTCAGCACACAGCCCCTTTCCCTCTCTAGATCTCAAGTCCCCAGCCACTCCATCTCTTCACGTCATCTTCTCTGCCTCCATCTCAGGCCTCACTGCTTCTCTGGGTAGGGTCCCGCTCTCTGCTCTTCTCCACTGATGATCCCAGGGCCCTCCGCTCCTAGACTGAAAAGTTAATAATCACTCCCCTTCTTGCTACAAAATGTCCACCTTTACATTTCCAACCCTCACAATCAGTCCTGATAACAAGTCTTCACTATTCAGCTATACAGTTTTATAAAGCTACTTCCCAAGCAGCAGTCTCCGGTGTGGTGATGTAGGACAAGCACTGAACTTTGAACCATAGGGTCAGTGGTTCAAACTTACCACCTGCTCCTTGGAAGCCCTATACAGGCTTGCTATGAGTCAGAACCAAATTGAAGGCACTTAACAAGAAGTTTCCTTTAAAGTGGAGAAGGCAGTCGAGGCTGACCCCAGTTTCCTGGCCCGTGGGTGACACTTTTGG